CCCCCCCCCCCCTCCCCCCCTCTAAAATCAATTCTCTCCTGGAGATCGTCTTCGTGAGCCTCTCATGATTTCAGGATAGTTGAAACCCTCTTGAACATTCAGAAAGAGTGAATATGAAATTCTAATCACGAAAGGTGTTCTGTGAAGCACGTCAATTCTCTCCTGGGGAGCGTCTTCGTGAGCCTCTTATGGTTTCAGGATAGTTCAAATCCTATGATGTTCCGATTCAATGCCCACCGATGATCTGAGCCATGGGGCAAGTTTGTTTTCCTAAGAATCTTTTTGAACATTTCAAGAGCACATGTTTCAACATTTAAAGTGCATATGAACATATATGTACGAAAGGTCGCCTCCGAGGGGATAAATCACCATGTCGAACATTGCATTTTTGTTCCTGCCTCTCGCGTTCTCTTCTCTTCCCGCTGTCCTACCTTTCGTGTCTCCCTCCTCTCAAGTTAATGCAAACTGGTTTGCAACAAACAAAGGCTACCAGTGTGAGGGTAGTTCCAGACCTTGATCGATACTTACCTTACAAGCCTTTTAACAATAGGTACTGTGTGTGAATGAACTGGGGTCTATGCCATGCAATCTAAAGGCCCGTGTCGGAGATTTCCTGCTGCGAGGAACCAGTCTGCGGTGCAAGCCCGGGGCGAGGGGCCAGTCTTGCTGGAGGCCTTCGTGGCCAAGAAATTGCGAGAGCACCAGAAAGAGGGTGTACGCTTTATGTGACTGGCTGCACTTTAAGATTGGCGGGCGTTTGGCCAATGAGTCGAGTATGGTCAGGTTCAGCACTTGCGCGCACTTGTATGTATTGAATGTTTAAGGGGGGGTGCTTTGCACTCTTGACCATCACCTGAGACTGGAGGTATGACGCCATCGCCAAGAATCGTGGGTGCATCCTGGCAGACACGCGCCTTGGGTACAGTATGGAGCAGTTGCCAAAAGGGTGCCCATGCGGACAATCCCTTCCTGTCAACGTTTTTCATGTTTTTTCGTTTGTTTGTTCTGAGATTTGTAGAGCGGAAGTGCTCCCATATTTTCATCCCTTTGTCAAGTCGTGGAAGTATCTCAGTGGAAGAGTCAGAGCATTGACTGAGCACCAAATGGCTAGACAATTACAGGAACTCACTGCTATCACCATGGACAGGCTGCGGGCTTGCTTTCCTGCGATTCGAGGATGGGTCTTGGAAAGTCGTTGCAAGCCTTGGCATTGCTATGGGCTGTGCTCTCCAACAACCTCTTGCGGAAGGCTGGATCAGAAGCACACATGTCTACCCGGATTAGGCTTTGTTCGACAGGAACCCTGGGTCTCGGTAGTGGCAGGGCTTCTTGGAAACAACATGAAGCAGCGATTTCTCTTTACACTCTTCCAGCCAGGTCTTACGCGTCACTAAACCAGACGCATGCTTTCGGCATTCTCCAATTCCCAAAAGCGGCGATCTGTGCCGGCATCAGGCCAATTTGTTACTAGTAGCTTTTTCTTACTAGTAGTAAGACCAGGAGCCCCTAGTAGCGTCCTTGCTCCTAGTAGCAAGGCCAGGAGCCCCTAGTAGCTTCTTTGTTCTAGTAAGGCCAGGAGCCCTTAGTAGCGTCCTTGCTCCTAGTAAGTAGCGATTCCCTTCGTTACTAGTAGCTTCTCGCATCAGGCCATTATTGTTTGCCCGTCCTCTCTTTGTGGGAATTGGCGTGCGGAAGCTACTCGGAGCACATCGCTTGTACAAGCGTGCGTGACAAAAGATTAGGCTGCCGCGTTTGCAGATATAGCTTGCTTCGTTGCTTAGCTTAGTGTAGCATCAAAAGCCGCAGTCCACGTGGCACCCAAGGTGAAGAAGTGGTTGGGTGACAAGCGCTTGAAACCAACGGTGATCGAAAGCGGGAAAGAGAAGCTTGGTTGATGTGGCTGGCAGAAGACGCACAGTTTATGAAACCACCCAATCTAAGTAGAGAAACGAGAAGAGGGCCGATTTCATTTGAGCTCACTGGGCTGGAGCCAAGGGGCAGATCGTCGGGAATTGAAATGACGCACATGAGAACCATGCACCACTATGTTGACATACCTTTTTTTGGGGAGGGAGGGCGGGTTGCAAAATTTGTCCCCGGCCACTGAGGAAGATTCTCAGCCAAATCCGTGAATTCCGAGACTTTGCATCTCGAAGGCTTTTGGTCATCTCCTATGATCAGTTGCTTGCCGTCCGTTAGAGAATCTTCAGGATAAAGAAGAAAGGAAAACCTACTAGCGATGGCCTCCAACCTACAAGCAATGGATGATTTTTCCGATTCATGGAACTTGATCAAGTTCCTTCAAGGCTTCGGAGACATGTCCAGCTCGTGGATGATGTTTGCGACCTGTTGATTTGCGATGAAGGTCATCGGTTGAGAGCCTCGGATCAATTGCTGGACAAGAAGTCCTTGGCAATCGTTGGATGTCATAGGTTGACCAAATGAAAGGAAGCTAGTCAATTGGGCATCGCCCTTACCAAAGTTCGAACCTGAAGTTTCCGGGGCCATCATCCAAAATGGAGTTGGGCCATAGAGTGCTTTCTTCATTTTTCTCCACTCAGTGGTTTTGAGACAGGCATGTGTACAGACTAAAGGTCCGAGTGGTTGTGAGCGATATGGTATGTCCTGCATAGCCAACATTCGGCCTTTGGATCTTTGAGGATCGCAGGGTACGGCGACCTCCAAAACACTGGGGCAGATGCGATGTCGCCGGCGGATCCTTTTGAGCGGAACGCCTTTGCAGAATGACTTGGAGGCCATACCAATGATGTTTTCCAGGAATGTGTAGGCGACGTTACTGTTTTCCCCCTTGATTTGATGGGTTGGCAAAGCTGAAAGCAACGCCGGCGGGTTCTGTAGATTGCTGGTCAGGAGCTCTTTCACTGCGGTCGTTTTGTCCGTGCCTTGCCGCAGTTCCCATGCAAGCTGAAGACGGCTCCAATGTGCACAAAGATGCACAACGAGTTTTTCTTTAGACTTGTTTTTCTGTTTTTTCTTCCTGTTTTGATCTTTGTATATGCCGGTCTTTCATGGTCTTTCTCTTTTTTGACTTATGGAAGTCCCTTCGGGTCTGGGAGAATTGTGGAGATCTGAGGTCCTGATCTCTTTGCCCCACAAAGCCCTGGCTACATGGCCCCGAAAGCAGCGGCCTGGGCTGTGCAATGTGCACGTGAGCCGCTAGCCACACCTGAAGAAAAGGCATTGGGGCAGCAGGTCACACGTGAGCCACCTGGCATTGAACCTAATCCAGGAGCAATGGCCTCCAACCTAATGGTGATGGCCTCCATGGCCTCGTTGTCCTTCTTGCTATTTGCAGCACGCTAAAGATGCTAAAGCCGTCTTGTGCATGTTGTTCTTTCCAGTCGAGTTTCAACATCCTGAAACAACCCACAGCTTGAACACGGAGTTTTGGGTATTCCGGTATTCCTATGAAGTTCCTTCGGGGAAAGATGTGCATGTGATTTGCTCCCAAAACTCTAAGGCTTGAGCAGAAGACTTTGCAATTCTTGCTGCGACGCACGATGGAGATGGTGAACTTCAATTTGCCGCCACGTGTGGAGGTGCGTAGCTGGAGCTCAGTTGGGCTCGGTACGTGGGAGTTCACCAGCAAAGACACTCCACGTTTCTTTCAGCTATATGTCAGTAATGGAGAATAACAATAATAATGGACCACCTTCTGAGCAGAACACACTATGGTCTTTTTTTTGCCTCAGCCCGACCACGTTTGCTGCCCTGAGATCGTTCTCCGACTTCGCCTGGCTCCAGTACAGGCAACGACGCTGCACCGGGGGATCGGATACACTTGTGGCTACTTCACCAGCTCAGATGGACCCTTGTAGTTATATTGTTCAGAACCACACCCCACAGTGTTGAGAGAAGCAATATGTTTGGACTGGCCTGCATTGATTGTTTGTCTTTGCAGGTTGCTGCCTACCAAGCCCTCCTCAATGACCTGCATTGTGGACCGCACAGCATGGCCAAGGCTTTGAAGTGTGGATGCCAAGGGTGGTGAGACCTTTCCAATTCCAGTTAGTGAAGGTAGTGCTCTGGAGACTCTTATTGTGCTTGTTGCATTTTGTGTGGTATGGCGGCATGTGTTATATGACTGTTCACACTGATACTTGGGTCTGTTAGTCCAACTCAGGGTGGGCTTCACCCAGCTAGACCTGTAGAGAAGTCACAGCGCTGTTTCAACTCAGCTGCAGCTTCATGTTGCCACTACGCCACCCTTCTGAGGGTCATGATGGCTTTGCGACTTCTTTGCAATGATCCCGGAGATCTCCTACATGAGACCGGGCTGCAGGTAACATCGGCTGTTAGAGCATGCAGAGCCAAGGATGCACCAAAATGGTGATTCGTCTCCGAACTCCGAACCCGAGCGTTTTCGAACATATCTCTTTGGAGGTTGTTGCCGGCCTGGCCACGACCATCATATTCGCGGCACGAAGTGCACAGATAAATGATACAACTAGCATTTTTACAAATTGCTTGCTGGGAGCGGCCAGCAGCGAAAAATGAGAGTGGGCATAGCAGTGCCACGAGTTCGGCAGAGGCAAACAATTCCTGTTTGATGCTCTGATTTTGCACTGCTTTAGGACTACCTGCGCGTTGCCTTTTCTAGTCAGTTGAGCTGAGAATGGGATGGTTGCCTCGTTCGGCCGCAGTGCCAGTACGCTAAGAGGTTTAAAGTAGTTTAAAAGCATGGCAGATGACCGCTGAGGATGGCTCGGCCGATTCCAAGAAGAGCAAGGCCAAAGAAGATGCCACGTGGCGGAAGACAGGTGTTGAAATCAGAGGAGACTAACCTACTCCAATCTACCAGCGATGGCCTCCAACCCAATAGCGATGTTTGTGTGCGTGATTCTGAACTGTTTGCATCACTTCTGTGGGCATTTGGCTAAATCCAACAACGATAGCATTGGGCACCTCTCTTCTTTTTCAGTGCGCGCAGCAGATTGTCGGGCGGTCCTGCCAATGCGTTTTACATCATCTTACAATGTAGCCAGAACACAGCAGAAGTAAATCAGATTGTTGTGCTCCAGCTGCAACAGAGCAGTCGGACACGAAATTCATTGAAGGTCTTTGAACTGCCTCTGGCCCTGACCACGCTGATGACAAGTTTGTGTTTTTTGTCTGGCTGCCAGATGCCAGAGCAAGCCTATTTGCTTCAAGACCGCCCCTGAAGTCAACCCCGGGACTTGCCACAGTCATCCTCCAATCTTTTGAGCAGCGTGGCTGTTCTATGTGCGGAACTTTAATAGTTGGGCAGGCTACGTTCTGTAGCCCACTCTACCACCGTTAGGTTCTGCAAGAAAAGGGCTATGGGCCATGGGCCTAAAATGCAGATTGCACGCATTATGATGGGTTGTGATTACCTGCATCATCCCTTGAAACATCCCAGTGAAATGACCTTATATAGCGCCTCTGTGCTCGTTCCCTCAAAATCTAGGAGCCAAATGAATAGTGCGAGCGTGAACTATCCTGCGTCCTAAGAAGCTACTTAAGCTAAGCTACTAACGACTCCCTAGCTTCTAGCTATCTAGCTACCTACGTACCTCACCAGCGGCCTACCCCTCGCCCCCACCGGGCTTAAAAGGAAGCTAGTAGTAACAAGTGCATCGCTAGTAGTAACAGGTGCCTTACTACTAGTAACAATGTTTGCTAACCGCTTTGAAAAAACGCTTGGTTTCTCAATCGCTTTCAGTCTTGAATTGGCCACGGGCACTTCCTTGAGCGGCCACAGTGGGGTTCCAATCCGCCTGGGCGCTTTGGTAGCACCCTTTTGTTCATTTGTTCACACGTGGTGCTCAGGGTGCTGATGCCAATGTAGTGCCTGTGGCGGTGAAGGAGATCCTTGAGGACTGAGCATGTTTGTTGAAATCAACCAATGAGAAGGAAAAGAACAGTGTAGCAGTGACTGGCATTCAATCCTACATAGGAATGCAGTCTTTCCCACTTTCAGTTTGCACAGGGGCTCATGGCTAAACTTCCTTGATTGCATCCCATATATTAAAAATGAAACTGTCTTGTCAAGTGAGCTTCCATCAACTCGCAGTATTTCAGTGGCTTGAGTGCCAAATCTTTGGCCCTACTGGCGCTCCTGCAGCATTGGCACCAACATGCGCCAAACGATCGTGTCGTGGTGGTCAGCACCGTGGCTGCAAAAGCATTTGTGAGATTCTTTGCGCTTTTGATTGCGCAAGGCCAAACACCGCCCCAGAATGAAGCCGGATTCCTCTGAAGCTTCAGACCCCAACTGTTCCCTGATGTTGTTTGAGCCGTTCCCAGGCAACTTTTCTCGAACTTTGAAGCGGTTGCAGCGTCTAGTCACTTGCAAGTCGGTGTTGCTCTCGGGGGACACGCCACCTGCCAAGCGGATGCAAGCCGTCGAAGCTTTGTGACACGGCTGAGCGTTCTTTTTTTAAGGGTTGTCATCGAGAAGTTCTTCTTTCTCCAAATTTTGGTTCAGACAGTCCAAAATAGGATAGGAGCCAAAGTGGCTGAGAATCACAACTCTTGCCTGCGCTGTTGTGGAACCTGTCAGAACAACAAAGCTGGAGGCATAGGCAGGTTTCAATTCTTGTTCCACTGGACTTGAGTCCAAGACATTTGGCAGATTTTGCGTCTCCATTCTCACCGAGGAACACTCCTGGAACAGAAGGAACTGCCACTCATCATTGCACTATATTATTACAATTGTACTATGTTTCAATGCTTTCGTTGCACAACCAGGCATAGAATCCCCAATTCCAACCAACAAACACACAACAGTCAGTTCATTTTCGAGGACTAGCCCTGCACAAGAGCTTGCAAGCAGAGTCCTTTGTTGAAGGCTCTTAAATGATTCGAAGATGTGATGAAGAGCAGCCTTTTGTGTTTTGTTTCTTTGTTTCTTTGCCTTGCTCATTGTCCCTCAGGACTTGCTTCTTTTGTCTTCCAAAGCCGGGGGCACTGGTTTAAATCTCATTGGTGCCAATCGGCTAGTGCTCTTCGATCCTGTCCCTTGGATGAAGGATAAAAAAGGAAAAGGCTTGAGAAGGGGTTGGGTAGCCATGATGCGAACTTACTACCCATCCGTGCGTCCATGTTTTGGACCTATTCTTCCAAATTTTTACTCTAACTACAGTATATAATCAGGAGCATGAACCCAAACTCTGCATCCTGGTAAAAGCGCCGCTGAGGATTGGAATCCTGCCAATGATGCTCAGGCAACATGGTACAGTAGCCCTGGCAATACATTGACCTGGCTCTCTGAGGGGTACGGAAATCTCGCTAAGCTTGCCTTGTCGAAGACCAATCTCACTTGATACAAGAGCATTTCAGTGCTATTGGCAGACCTGGAGTGCTTACATGGCCAAAAGTGTTCAACATGACAAAGCCATGGATGAACGTTTAGTCAGAGAAAACCATCATTGTTTCTCCGGAGCAGATGCAGGCCATGGCCCGAATTTGGCGAGAAGGGCAGACAAAGCCCTGCTACATCTATCGTTTTGTCTTGGGTGGAACCCTAGAGGACTGAGGGCTTGCTGTGCTTTGCAAGTGAGAGGGGGCGGCTTCCGCTGCTTGTAAGTGTCACCAAATCCGATAAGCTGGTGTACATCCCAGTTGGGGCATGACAGGCCAAGGCAGCTGGTGGCAGTGAGTTTGCTCGGAATCGGACCTCGAAACATCAGATAATAAAAAGATATTTGCTACGGCAGATGTTTGCATTTTCGCTCTTAGCCTCCCATGTTCGTTCCGGTTTGCCATCGCTACTAGGGTGGAGGCCATCTCTAGTAGGTTGGAGGCCATCTACTGGTAACAAGAAGCTACTAGGGAAGCTATTTCTCAACCCCTTGCTCTCCAGCCTTTGGAAGTTGCACTTGGGCGTCTCTGTGAGACGACTCCGGGACGAGTCATGCCCGCCAGTGAGAGAGAGGGAGAGAGAGAGAGAGAGAGACAGAGAGAGAGTGCGTCCTTTATTATAGATTGTTTCTTTTCTATGTTTTTTGCCCTAAGTTAAGCTTCTCGTCCTGTTGCTTCTGTACCTCTCTCTTACCACTGCTCACAAGAATGCACTTCTTTGCGGGTCTCATAATTAACTTGATCATCTTGAAACTGACAGTCGCATCACCTGTCCCAGGAGAAGATTTGCCAGAGACAGCAGGTGAAAACCGCCACTTGGAAATCAAAGGGTCGCTTTGGCGCGGCTATGGCGTCTATGGGTGAATGGCATACGGCAGCAGAAAGATCAGCACGATTCGGCATGCCACTGTCAAGTCTCTGAATGTCTCTGAGTCTTTTTCGTAGTTTTTTGCGCCACATGCAGTGCTACTCGACCTCTTCCCACATTCAGACCATTTTCACTGCAGCTTATATAATTGTAATTTCAGTGGCTGAGTTTTACATTAAATTTCAGGGAATCCCAGCCAGGTGGCAGTGGCGAAGCAAAGGTAGAGTGAGCAGTTCCTAGCCGTAGTTCTTGGGGAGTGTTTTGTCCAACCAAAGGTGGAAGGGTATGCAATGGACAGAATCCTTTTGGTGGTTCAAACTCAGCCCCCATCAGCACGTTTCAACGCCGGAGAAGCCCAAAGACCGGGTTTGCTTCAGGATTTGGCTCACATCACAGTAGATGGTCAAGATATGGATGCAGACGCATCCAGGCGCACAAAGAAGGGGCTTGGTCGGACTTGGGAGGTGAGGTTCTCATATTTCTCGAGCCACGGCGTCCACGGGCATGTTTTCGACACTTGCAGTGGAGGCATTGGTGCATATGGCACTGGCCCAATTATCTTGATTTTATTTCAAAAACAACATGCCTTGGTATTGGGTTGATGTCCAGGTGTGTGACATGAATTGAAACAACTATGTTTGGCAGGCTTGTAGTGTAGAGTGCAGTGCTGCCTAAGCTCAGTCAACAAACATGATTGCTCTTAGTTCTTGAGTGGACTCAGTTTGTTTGTGCGGCTGCTGTCCGCAGGTTGTCTTGGGATGAGTTGCGGAGGGTCTTTGCATTGGAGGTCTGAGCAGCTGAAAAGCTTCATGTCCATATATGAACTGACTCTCAGTGTCAGGCTCTCGGTGATATCTTACCAATTCCGAAGTAACAAGATTCTACCGAGCATTCTGCTGCAGGGGCTAATTACAGCACGATAAATTCGATAAATGGATAGTAGGATCGCGAGATACCACGAGAAGGAGAGGTAATTAGAAGGACTCAATCTTGTTTTTCATTCGCCGAAACGATTCCAATTGTCCGACATTCATCCTGGCAGGGCTATGACGACCAGGGCTTGCCCAGCCCGGCTTTGATGACTTCTGCCTTTGGACCTTCTTCCGAGCCGCAGGACCATGCAGGAGCATTGTTGGATGCCGCAGGCTTGGGGAAGGCACTGCACCTGAGCTGAAATTCATGCATTGTTTTTTCTACCAGGGGCTCCTGGCATCGCTACTGGGAGCAAGGACGCTACTAGGGGCTCCTGGCCTTACTACTAGGAACAAGGACGCTAGCAAAATTCTTTTCAGGCGAGATTCCACTTCAAAGGACTGACATAGGACTTCACACCTGAGGTTGGGACTTCATCTCATCAGTCGCATCGACGGCGGAACAGAAGAACCCGCTAAGGACACTTATTGACCCCATAGGTTGATTGGCTTGTGTTCCAACAGTCCGCACCTGTGTTGATTAGTTGACTTGTTGCTGCTTGTTGATCCAACTGCAATGCAGGGCGGGGCGCAACCGTGGCACCTTTGTGTATGTTTCCGCTGACCCTAGGGTGCTACATTGAGGGTTTTGGAGGTGAATCTCGCTTGTGACTGGAATGCGTCTTTTTGCCTTCGTATGCAACGGGAGGAAAACACGAAGATAAAAGCACTTTTTGTTGACCTTTCAAGTGAAACGGTGGCCCAGCCCGAAGTAGATGATTGAGTCACTCATGGTCAACTTTTAGCCCCTTTGGCAGGGTGTCAAGGGTGCACAGTGGATTGGTATTGCGCTTTGCAGCCACTTCATTGCACGCATGCTCCAGGAAATGCCCCCGGCCCCTGCAGAACGCGGGGAACAGAGACAAGCCGCCGCTTTGAAGCCTTCGAACGTCATGTTCCAAGCACCTCCGATTCCAAAGCAAGCTCCAAGTGTTTCTGCTCAATCTTGGCAACAGGGATGGGGAGGCACGGCAATGCAGCCACCCCCCAATGTGCAATTGAACAATGCAGTGGGCCGGACTTCTCTACCAAGTGCATCTCCACAACAGAGCCCGCATGGTGGCTTGCCAACGAAGGCGGGAAGACGGTGTGTTTTCAAGCCTATTTAAACTTGTGATGATGCTGATCGTGACGACACAACAATAAAGATCGCATGAAAGGTACAAGCAAGATTGAACATTCAACAAGCTGACGTTAAATGCTTCAACTGCTTGAGCAATGCAGGGGTTGAACGTCTCAGCTCATAGCTACAGCAGGAAAGATGAAGCACACTTTGGCTAGATTGATTCTAGATGAGCAGAACTCCTGTGCATCCTCTTGCAAAGTTCATTTGTTTCAGGAAATGCCCCCGGCGCTTGCAGAACCCGCGGAACGGAGACAAGCCGCCGCTTTGAAGCCTTCGAACGTCATGTTCCAAGCACCTCCGATTCCAAAGCAAGCTCCAGGTGTTTCTGCCCAATCTTGGCAACAGGGATGGGGAGGCATGGCAATGCAGCCACCCCCCAACGTGCAATTGAACAATGCAATGGGTCTACAAAGTGCATGTTCACAAGAAGGCCCGCATGGCGGCTTGCCAACGAAGGCAGAGGCATGGAACTGTTTGAATGTGTTTGTGAGGTTTTTTCTTTTCACTGTGTGTGTGATCCCAGAGAAGGCGACAAGACGACAGTCTTAGTAGGAGCCACTAGTAGCTTCTTGTTACTAGTAGCGATGGCCTCCACCTAGTAGCTTCTTGTGATTGATGAAACATATGTTTCATTGTGACGGCTTGTGAGCTTTACTTTCCACCGTGTGCCCTTGCAAGGATGAAGTGCCACTGCAAGGCCAGGAGGTGGTCTTTCCAAGAAGGACAGTATTGGGGCCAACGCCCATGCTGCAGGCACGTGGCGCGGTGCCTTCGGGAATTCTACGGTTTGCGCTTGTCTTGATAAGAGAATCGCTGTGACATTTTGCACCACATATTGATTCAACAACACGATTTCAGCACAATGCAGCTATGAAATCGCCATGACTGTTTAAAACTGTTTGATGCAGGAATCTCTGTCTCCAGAAGCTTCTGCCACGGCTTCACCGCAGCTCCAAGATGGGGCACCAAACACAGACGACCATGGAGGGATCCGGGAAGCCGTGGCCCAGCAAAGCCCTGCTGCAAAGGCCCTTTCAGGGTTTGGATTGGACAAGCAGAAGGGCACGTTGCCAGTGGCTACTCCAGCACGTGCCCGAAACCTGGAGGTGATTCAAGCGCTTTGGTTCTTGAGTTGTTTCTTGTTGCTTGATGTTTGCAATCCTTCATCGGCCTGCTTGCTTCTTCACCGTTGGGAACACACGCACACAGACACAGAAAAGTGTGTGTTATTTGTATGTACTTCTTTCATAATTCGTGGGCGTTATATATCCTGAAAGAACTATACGCTGATCGGCCTGTAGCAGCGTATGTAAATTTGCCTTTCTACATCTTTCCACTTGCACCATTGGCCCTGCTCACTGAGTAGCAATCCGAGGATGTGCCACTCAAGGGCTTCAGGCACGTTTGCAAAGAGTTCGGTTTGTTGAACCCGCTGTTGTTGGACGGCTTTTCTGTTCGAGCCAGGGTATGTGACCGATGTTTGTGACCATACAGTTCTCATTTGAAAGGATCCCGCTGCACAAGAATGTCCAAGCAGAGGCTGAAGCTCAATAATCCTTCAAGAACACCAGTCCTGTGTCATAATGGGACCCAACTTTCTTAATTCAGATACTGACCCTTAGCACGCCTCCACAGGACTCACGCTTTTACCAATTGTTTCTCCTTCCTGTTGTTTCAGATTGGCAGGTTGCGGAGAATGAAGGTGATGAAGCAGGTGCATGGGTAATCATTTGGACCTGACGAGGGGTGATGTTCTCGAACCATTTATGCATTGAAGCGGACATGCCTGTCCACTCTCTAAGGTGCTACATCTGGGGATATGAAATCCACACAGGCTAAGCGCAAGAGGCGATTACCTGCAAGACATCATATGATGTGACAGAGGGGTTCTTTCACTCAGCATGTCGCTGAGATGTCAGATTTTGTGAGCGCTTTCCTTGCACCTTCTTTAGTTGGGCGGTGCTCCGTGAAGTGAAAGCAACACCGCATTTGAACACTTTTTGTGCAGGAGTGCGAAGCCCACGAAGGCAGGTGATGGAGGCATTCGCGTGGAAAAGTGGTCCCTGAGCATGGAGGGAGCTTCTTGTGTTCAACTCTTTGTCCATGCCTTTCACTGCATTCGATCCACCAGATTCTCCAGCTTACCCATCATAGAACCTGCTGTGTTGAAGATTCCCTTGAACACAGGAATCTGCAAGCCGGGGTTACTACTGTGGCTGTGCTTGCCAGGCAGCAGCGATGTCAAGATGCAGAAGGACTGGTATGTCGGTCTTCCGTTGAGCAAGACGACGTGTTGCAAGCTGCATTTAGGTGTGGATTCGATGCACCCAGACACGCTCATGTCCTTTGCACTCCTCAAATCGTCCAGCCATGCAGGCTGCCGGAAGTCGTCCCTTCCTTTGGTGCCAATATTCATGATGCCATGGACTGCAGCCTAAGTGCTCCATAGCTTCTTTGGACCGGCTTCAGTGCGAAGGAAGGCTTCTCCCCCAGCCTGCGCATGACTTGAAAGTCAGCTTGCCGAGGGCTGGATGGGGTGCTTCCTTGCCTTGATTTTATGCAAGCGAATTCCGAATTCATATGGCTGGAGCTTCGTGGTTCCCTGCTTATCGACAATTTCCTAAGTGCAAGAAAATCAACGTTGTCCTTGCAGCTCAAGATTAAGAACCTGTTGCTTCAAACTCAGTACAGTAGCATGTTAGCAATACGGGAACCAAGAGCTGCTTTGCAACGCGGCACATCTCAACTGACGTGCCCTTGATAATCATTAGTTGGTTTGCACACTTTGTAGCGGGCATTTTGGGGAGGAAAAGCTGGAAGGATAATCTTGATGCAATCAAGCATTGCAATCTTCCTCCACATCCACACGTTGATCATTCTTGATGATTATATAGTGTAAATTCCCTCACTGCTTGCAGCACTTAAAGCCTTACAAAAAGCATTCCAAACTTGCAATCTTCACTAGGCTGCAAAGAGATCTCTCGCTGGAAAGTGGAAAGTGCCGGCTTGTGTGCTTCTTCACTGCCAAAACATGGCTCAAATATGCGTGGGTGCGAGGAACGTTAGCAAATTGTTTGGCAAAGCAGCAAGCAGCAAGCTTTTTAACGTCTTGAACTGCTGCAAGTGCGAAAGCAGGTAGAGAAAAGACTTGAAATTAATAAGTATGCGTGGGGGTGTCACGGAGTTCTTCCATCGTTTTAGGCAGCTAGCGCTAGCCAGAGTCATCAAGGTGACTTGGGGAGTGTGAGCCGCACCTGCAGAACCTTCAAAGCAGCGATGTGGCTTCATGTCGCTCATCCATGTGTCCTCTCTGCGGAGGAGTGCCGGCTTAGGGGGCCTGATGGTGTGAGCGTAGCCTGAGGAGATTCACAATAAGTA